CCACGATGCCCCGCCCACCGATGACCGTGAGTTCACAGTCTCCAATCTGTTTAGAATGCCCTGCTCGCCGTGTACGTGTATACCCTTAATGCACTTGTGTCCTCTAGCCGATGCCGCCACCAGTGCGCACCACTCTCCTGTCTGCTGTCCCTGTGATTCCACGGCCGCCCGTGGCCCCCGTCGTCCGCCTCGCACCGGGACAGGTCTTGGCGCAGGTGCCCCCCATGATCTCCGCCCCGCGCATCAACGTGGTTCCCATGCCGCCGACGGCACCGCATATCATGGCGCCGAGACCTCCGCCCATGGTTGTTCCAGCTGGTAGGATACTTTGTTGATATTTTTTAAATGTGCAAAAAAAAATTTTTTTTAGTAATAAAATTACCTTTTTTTTGTCTCTTTCCAGCGTTTGTCCCAGCGCCACCAGTACCTCAGCCACCCAGTGCTCCGGCGCCACCTGCCCACCCACCTCCACCTCATGACGACGAGCCAGTCAACAAGAAGATGAAGACAGAAGACAACCTGGTGTCAGAGGAGGAGTTCCTGCGTAGGAATAAGGTTTGATAAAGCAAAAATAATTAAGAAAACATTTTATAGTACGGTAGTCCTTCTCTATTTCGCAGTTCAACTTTTGCGGATTCGTGGACTTGGCGAGTACTTGATAACTGTATATATAAAATATATTGTATCCTGGATTTGGATCTGCGAGAGATGTCACAGGAATGGGGACGACGATATGGTTCGATCGGTCCAGTTTCGCAAAAAAGTCGACGACGTCGTGACTGCCTACGAGCTACTCTTCGACCGGAAAAAGAAGCAGCGGAAGCAACTGCCGATCACAATGTTCAGCAGCCTCACAAAAAAAGAGCCGGTTCCTGCTACTACTATGATACACCTTTGGAAACCTTCGGAAGAGGTGCCCCAAGAAATGGCACCACCCTGTGGAGAGACGTAAAAGTCATCATTTTACTGAGCATAAATATGGTGTCACTACTTTGCGAAAATTCAGTTCTTGCGGCAGGGCCTTGGAACCTATCTACCGCCATAAACGAGGGACCGCTGTATTGTTGTACTTGTCGTACCAAATATCTGCTGTTCAAACGTCCATTTCCGTCTTTTTTTTCAGGGTCCTGTGGCGGTTAAAGTGCAGGTTCCCAACATGCAGGACAAGACGGAATGGAAGCTAAGCGGCCAGGTTCTGAATTTTACCGTCCTGCTCACCGACCAGGTGTGTGAATATCTAACTGTAACAGTCGTTTTTGACTCTCAATCTCTGGCGCCCCCTTCGCTCTGCTGCGTGTTCTGATCAATGCGTCAACATTTGCTCTGTGTCAACAGGTGTCTGTTATTAAAGTCAAAATCCACGAAGCCACAGGGATGCCAGCTGGAAAACAGAAGTTACAGTATGAGGTAAGCCAAATCTTTCTAAGTCTGAGTCAGTAGATAATTTAGACTCACAAAAGGGTCTTTGATGGAGAAATAGTGACACCTAGGAGGTCAACAGAGGTAATGCAGGGGATTTTTTTTTATTTATTGTTTAAACCGGTGTTTTCTAACCTTTTGGATCCATGATATATTTTATATTAGAAGACTTTTACAGCACATGTATATGTTAGGGTTGCCTGCTCCAACTCTTCGTCAATTTGGAGATCCTGGTACTGGAATTGTTGAAGACCCCTGACTTTAACCAATGTGTTTCCTAACCTTTTCTGAGTACGGCACATATAAAAAAATCTCACAAAAAGTATATGTAAAGAAATAAAGTAATCTTCTGGTTTAAATGACCTCATAATTGACTAAAATCTCTGGCCTGTTTAGTTGAAGTCGACGCTGATATACTGGCAGGAATTGAAGAATTTTTTTTTTGCTAATTTAAACTTTTTTTTTTTTTTTCCCATTTCAGGGAATTTTCATCAAAGATTCCAACTCCCTGGCTTATTACAACATGAACAACGGTTCAGTCATCCACCTGGCCCTGAAGGAGAGAGGAGGAAGGAGGAAGTGAGACGAACAGCGAGACAAGGAACAAAAAAAGAACTGCTTCTCCTGCTGGTGGATTTTATCGCTTATTACTACGTTAGTACGACCGTTGTCGATTGCATTTAGCTTCACGGCTGTTTATCATCTATTACATGTTTAGCCTGTTTCCTCAAGCTGCTAATAGAACCGCATGCTCACGGAAAAGTATGTTGACGACAAACTTGAATTTGTTGAAGGTTGAGAAATTGACTATCGACACGTTATTAAAATAGTTTCAATTAAAAAAATATATGATTTTTTATGACTTCCATGTATAGACCTGAAGATGGCGCAGTTGATGCTGAAATGTTATTGGTCGTGATCCATTAAGAGGCTAAGGTTTATCTTTGACATGATTGGGGCGGAGTTGGACATGAATTCATCAGTTTCTACGTTTGTTTATGTTACGTTAATTAAATAAAGTTTGTAGTAAAATTAAAACTGTTTTTACCTTAAATCTGACATTAAAATCGAATCATTTTTATTTTTGATTTCTGAAAATGTTCTAATATTTTGAGGCATCCAAAGCTGACTAACTCTAGCGACCCCTCGCGGCCGGGGGGGATAAGCGGTAGATAGATTTTTTTTCTTTCTGAATTCGAACGCTAAATATAGATTTAGTTTTTACTTAGCTCTACGGAGCTCCTAAAGGGACATGGGAAAATAAATAAAGTTTTTATTTATTATTTATTTAGTTTTTTTTTATTTTGAATTTTTTTTTAAATTTTCTTAATTTTTATGCCCCCACGATTTTCTTTAGATTTTGTCATTAATTTCACTCAAAACAAATGCAACTTAAATCTCGGGACTTCCCTCTTAAGATTCTTAAAATGTATTTATTATTAATTTTGTTTTTTTAGCCGAGAGTTCAGAAATTAGAGTCACGCAAAGTTAATTATTATTTGTAATGTAATAATCCACTTTTCAAACATTTGAAAAAAACAAAAAAAACTGTCTCCGAGTGAAACCACGAGGGGGAGTGAAGGATAGCGACAGTGTTGAAAACAGCCCAGGGCGACACAGAGTCTCACAGTAGCCTGGGATCAGCAGACTTGGTATGATTTGACAACAGAGACTCCATCGGTTGGATTTATTTTTTTTAAACAATAACTTACTGTCATAGGTAGTTGCTGAATATAAAGGCAACTTAAAGAGCATAGCCGAAATCGCTTTTTTAGTTAAATGCTAAGCGCGTTAGCAGTTTATGATTAACGAGCTAACCCTTTGCTTTTGTGAAAGAATTCGCCTTTTTTTCTCAGTTGACTGATATAAACATCGTCTAGTCGTGGCGAACCGTATGATAGCATTTGCGTAAAAAGTAAAAAAAAGAAGAAGTAAAAATTAAATGCGGAGATACAATGACGTCGTTGCGGTTTGATCGAGCAGCGTATGCTGGGGAGCAGCACTTTTGACGGTCGGCTGTCAACGAGCTCGCTTGCCTTAGGTGAACGCTGGCTAGGCGGCTAGCCGTGTGTCTCCGTTTCTATGGCCAAAATAGAAAACGGCCGCGAGTCCGTGGACACCCGGAGTATCCGAACCGTCAGCAGCAGCCACATAGACGACGAGAGCTCCCTGGGCTCCGACTCCGAGATCAACGGCTTCACCAGCGATAGACGAACGGACAAATATGGATTCATCGGCGGAGCTCAGCAGTACACGGAGGAGTCGTAAGTTCAAACTTCAGCAACTTTTTTTTTCGACAGACAAAATACTACATTTGAGACAACGGCCATTTTGGAAATTATCTTTATTTGTGTTGTGTTTTGTTAACGTAGTTTCGTAACGACGTAGAACTCCCGGAGTTAGTTTTGTTGTCGTGGTGTCGCTGCCTCTCCCCAACCAGCTGCGTGGCACCCGGGGTTTCTACATCTGCCCACGGTCTGACTCAGTCAGACAGTCCGTGGTCAACAATACAATATAAACACCCGTAGGTTTACTGTTTCTCCCGTGTCACGCAAAAGTTTTTATTTCGTCGCTGCTAGCTAACGTACATCTAGCTACACTACTAAAACAACTCAGCGTCAGTCAAATTGAACAGAATTAGCTTAAATTCTAGCTCCCCCCAAGTATTTGCTTTTAGATGCTTAAAGAAGAAAGTCACAACAACGTAGATTTATTTTAGAAAATGTTAGACATAACGTGTGAAAGTTAATGCTTAAACTATTTAGCATAACGAGCTAAAAGGTTAGCAGACAACATAAAACACCGAACAAACAAACATTTAGCTAGCTAAAAAACGATAGCAAACACGGATAATTACAGAGAAAAAAGTTAATATTTGATGACAGTTGCCTGAAAATAATTTAAAAGATGCTTATAAGACATTTTTATGAGATTTTTTTTCATTTTGACAACAAGTAAAACCGTTAATTCTATGGGGGAAAAACTTGCTAGACGAGTCCAGATGCTACATTTGACCGTTGACAACATTAAAACATTGACATTAAATTTACCCATAATGATTGTGTTAGTTGACTAGTCATTATTAGTTTATTTAAAAAAATATTTATTTATTTTTTCTCTGAACTTTACTTTTTACTGACAGCTTCGCCGCATGGTTTCCATTTAAAAGGGTTTAACCAAAACCCATTTTGAGTGTTTTTGATCTCTCGCCTCACAGCTATAAAAAGCCTGTTCTGTGGGGCAAATGTAGTGATAGGAGGGGGAAAAAAAGAAAAAAAAAGTTGTGCCAGGCACTGCATGCTTCTCTGGGAGTGTCTGTGTTCTGGAGATTTTGGCAGACTCCAAGGCCACAGCCCTGGCGCCCTGGGTTTTTTTTTTTTTGGCTTAAAATTGTTTTATTTTTTTTCCTCTATTTGACTCAGGGGTTTAACTTTTCTAGCGTTATCTGGAAGTGAAAGCTACTAATTACTGTTTGGGGGGTCCTTCGAAATCACTAAGGGAGCTAGTTCCGCGGAAGAACGTCACAGCTTTGATTTAAAAAAAAAAAAAAAAAAAAATTCAACGCGAACAGACTTATTGTCAGTAAACACATTTTTAGTCTTCGTTGTTGGTTTCATCGTCTACTAAAAACACGCCCGCTAGGTGGCGGCCGCACACGTCGATGGAAAAAAATTGTTTAAACCGCTAATGTCTAATCTGTTTTTTTTCTCTTTTGTCCATCCCAAATGTCCAGAGCTCAGGACGTCCCTCCGGCCGTGCTCAGACAGAGGGAGCTCAAATGGCTGGACATGCTCAACCACTGGGACAGGTGGATAATCAAGAGATTCGACAAGGTTAGCGCCACGCTAACAGACGGCGTTTTGATACCGTGTCACTGTAGTTAGCATGGGTTTGATGTACCCCCCTCCGCAGTCCTGACCCGGTGCTGCTGGGGCAGGAATAGACAAGATAACTGGTATTTATCAAGCTATCGCTTGCACGACTATGAGGTGGCGGCGGCGGCGAAGATGCGGCATTTATTACGGCTGCTTACTCGTCAAACTAGTTCAGCTCCGATTTTTTTTTTTAAATTTTTTTTTTAAAAAAAAAAAAACGCAAAGGGAGTGT